TATATATATATATATATATATATATATAAAGTATTATTTAAAGTAGTTTTATGTAGAAGAGATATTGTTAGAAATTTGATCGTCATTTGAAAAAATTAATAAATTACCGATTTATATATGTAATCGATTCATAGATCGGAAGTATTAAATAGCTTTTCATAAAATTCTCTCATTAATAGATATTCATAACGTATACAATTATGCAATATATCACAAAAAATATGAAAGTTATAGTTCAGAAGTTAATCAATCAAATCATATTCTCTAAAAATTTATTATATACGTAATACAAGAATTTTATTGCTTAAATTTTTAATTTACAAAACAATTAAATTACTAAATTACTAAAGAACTTGTATTATGTAAAATATATATGAAATATATTTGTTTATTTCCTTTATTTGAAACTTAATTTATTAAGAAACGTATATATGTTATTCAAGGAACCAAAACAATGCATATTTCTAAATATTTTATAACAATTATAATTTAAACTATTAAATAATTTAAAATTATCATTAATCATATTGAATTGTATGTATATTGATTATATATAGATATATAGATATTATAATAATATCTTTTTTGACATATCTTATTTAGTAACATTACATATCTTACATAACCTAAAAATATCAATGGTATTAATCAAAATGATATTCTTTTATAGCAAACCAACTGAGCACTTTCCTCATGTGACAATCTCTCCAAATTCCGTGTCAACGACTGACAAATATCTATCTTCAGCATCGAGTGTCACAAGCCATGTATTCAATTCTCTCAAGACTGCCAACACTACTCCTAAATTAATCTCTTTAGATCAGGATAATCGAGTCACAACGAAATATCCAACTGTAACAAGGAACCATTTCATCCCAACCATGGCTCCTGTCAATGAAATCATTACGACAACACCTGCATCAGTGCCGACGACTTTCTCACATCATTCGACCAATTCTTACATTCACTTTACTTCACCATCTAGTGAAACTTTACCGAGTTTAAAAACAATTCAGACCACTACAAGACCATTGATTACCTTACACAACGAAAATATCATCTATCAGGACACTTTCGAAAGATCTACTATCATGCCGACCATCGAATTGCCTACGACGAGAAATCAAATACAGGAAAGTTTGATCACATTGTTGAGGAGAGAAGGATTGTTTGCAATGGCTAAATATCTGAGGCAGTCAGGTCTGGATAACGTGTTGAATGAAACTGGTGAGTATTTACAAAATTAGATAATATTTCTTTAATCTACTTTACTTTTTTTTAATTTTATTTTAAGATTTTTAAAATTTATATTAATCGATAATATAATATATATATATATATATATAATAAGAATTTCCTATTTTATGACGGTTTTTTATGATGATGCGTACGATTGTGTTATGAAATGTGAAAAAAGAAAGACTTTTACATATATGGGACTTTTCTTTTAATATAATTAATATTATCAATATACTAATCTTTCTGAATTTCATTGCATTTTTCTAAATATTTTATAACAATTATAATTTAAACTATTAAATAATTTAAAATTATCATTAATCATATTGAATTGTATGTATATATTGTTATTGTATGTATATATATAATTGTATGTATTGTATATATATAATTGTATATATATAATTGTATGTATATATTGATTATATATAGATATATAGATATTATAATAATATCTTTTTTGACATATCTTATTTAGTAACATTACATATCTTTATAACTTTTTTTCATATTTGTCAAAAATCAATTTATCAAAGAATTTCGATTTTTTTATCGTTTAAAATGTTAAGAAATAGGATTACTAACGATAAAAGATCTCGAAATGTAAAACTTATAAATCATAATTTATATATGACAGATATACATGTATTCTTATATTTTTATATGTCATAACATTAATTCGTCAAAAAATACATTCAAACGTATAATCACAATTTAATACGATTACTTATTATGAGAAAGTTTTATTTTTCTCTTTTCCAATATCTAATCAATCATGCAATATTTAGAAAAATTCTCACAAATTATTCGTTTCGACACTGTTGTCTCATCGCAAGAACAATGATGAATCACATTTTCTCGTTATACGAATATATATAAATTACAAAAGCTAGCTTAATTATATCTTACGATGTTACATTAATTGATTTATATAACTTATCGTTTTGTTTGAATGTTTATATATCTTTTGTCAATGTATTTATTGTTACTTTAATAAGTTCAGTAATGATTGAATGAAATCTATTATTTAAGTAAACAAAAATATGATTCAGAAAAATTTATGTTTTAAAATGTGTTTTAAAATTTTTTTTTTTATTCAATAACGATGTCCATTTTTTTATTTCAATATATATTTATATACTGAAATATATTATAACTATACATTTATGTATATTAGATATATTATATATATATATATATTTTAATTTTTTTTATATTTTTATTATATTTTAATTTTTTTTATTATTCTAAACTCTTTTCTTTATTAAATAATAATTTAATTTAAATATTAAATTAAAAATATATATAAATTAAATAGTTTCAATAATTCTTATCATTAATGTTCTATTTACAAAAAACGTTAATATGTTTTCATATTTTGTTAATATTGACAGTAAGGATATTAAATTACATGGATGCAATCAATAACTAAAATTAAACACTTGGACGAATCACTTTCAAAGCAATTAAAAGTGATTGTGAAAATAAGTAATAAATCAATGCAATCAAAGGAGATCGTGCAATCAGATTCATTATTGACTCGTTAAACCAAACGGAAAAACCGTGCACTTCCGTCAATTAAAAATCAAAGAAGTGTAACGATGTCCCCGTCGGGTGAGAATTACACAACCGGATGATAATTATTCTTGTGATTGAAAAAAATGCGTTTGTTCTCATGACACTTTATAAGAATATCATTCAATTGACGTTAAAATTATACAAATTTTTTATGTAATGATAGGAAATTTTAGTATGTAATGATAGGAACTTCAGATAATGTCAGATAATTAAATATATACTAGATTACACTATTAGATTGAATTATATTTGTAATACAATAAAAACAAAAAAAAAATAAAATAAAAAATGATTACAAATAATATAATAATATAATTTGTTAAAAAATAAAAAAACATAAATAATATAAATATGATAAGAATTGTAATGGTTTCTGAATAATATTCGAATATTGAAAATATAATTGGGATTATTACATTCCTACGTAATCGAATTTATTTATCTTTGTTATTTTAACAGTATAAGTTGTAAAATTATGAGAAATTGAGAGATTCAAATCATCATACTTAAAAGAAATTAAAATGATCTTGAAATATAATTTTTCTTCATTAAAATGAATTTATCTAAAAAATAATTCGAATTTCTCATGCATAAATTATTATATGAAAATTTGCATTTATGAATAAATGTAATATAATTCAATCTTATAAAAAAAAAGATTAATTGTGTTGTAACATTATAGGTCCATACACAATATTCGTTCCGACGGATAAAGCTTTCAGAACGCTCTTAGTACAACTTGGTGGCCCAGAAAAAGCAGAACAAAAATTCCGAGATAATCCACGACTTCTTAGTGGAGTATGTTACATTTATTGCTTTATAGTATAACAAAAATTGCTATTGAACTCTTAAGATGCATCTCTATATTAATTTAAAATTCCAAATTTATAACATTACATAGTTTGATTTTATACATGTAATTATGAATATAGATCTAATGATGATTACTATTTAAAATATATTATCAATTCTTTTTTTTTTTTATTATAAGTTTATTTTTAATTGAATAAATATGTAAAAAATAATACAATATGAATGAATAAATTAAACATATTTGTGAAATTGATAATTTTCTTTAATTTATATTATATATTTTATCTCATATTTAATTCACATTTATTCATCCAAAATTATTTCTATAATTATAATTTAAAAACATTATTTACTGAAAATAAAAATTATATTGCTGTAAACGCAATAAAAATTTATAAAATCAATAAAAATAATAATTTATAAGTAATTATCTAAAGCAATTTTTGTTTATTATTAGAAATTACGAATAATAAAAAAATATTTTATCTCCTATATTTTTTTTCATATTATTTTTTCATGTTAAGCAATTAAATTATATTGATATAATTTATATAATTAAATTGCAGCTTTTACTACACCATGTGATACCAGGAGCTTTCAGAATTGATTCCTTGCAAGATGAAATGACTGGTGTTAGCTTGGCTGGAACGCAATTAAGAGTGAACGAATATGCAATGCATGATCATGAATGGAATGACATAAAGGTACTTGCATCTCTTATTTTTAAGAAAGTTTGTATATAATAATAAAGTTATGTTATCGTTTCAATTCACCAATCATTTCAAGTTATGTAACCTTACAATAATTTATTTCTATTTATCCTCGTGCATGTATGTATTAATGAATTATAATCTGCATATTGCATTATCGCTTTCCTCGATCGATCGTTTCACGTTGATCTAGTTTATCGATCTTCTAAAAAACATTTTATGTTAGTAACATATGAAATAAGTATTTACTTAAAAATAATAATAATTTAGATATTTAAAAATAAATGATTTCTTCTGTTTTTTCTTAATTCTTATAATTAACATAAGAAAAAATGATTTCTTTAATAAGAAAATTCTTAAGGAATTTTTATTATTATATTGATTATAATATTTTTATTTGATTTTCAAACGTGATGGAAATATTAATAATCGTGATTTTTAATTGCATAGATTCTCTTCAAATATTTCTTTTCATGAAATATTTTAATTAATTTTTTTTCTCTGCTCTTATTAACTGAAATTAGTAATAATATTTATAAAAAGATCATAAACAATATATTTCCAATAATTATCAAAAAAACATATATTAAAATTCTTGAAAATTCTTGATATATTAAAAGAACTAATCACAAATTAGGAAAAAGAATTCTTTTATTGCTAATTTTAAAAATATAAATTTTTTCAAAAAGTTGGATTAATTTTATATTTTAATTCTTAATATTAAAAATTAATTAATATTTTAAAAATAAAATTTCAAATAAACTAATCATTTAACCAACTAATCAATTTCTATTTAATTTTTATCCATTTTTAATAAAAAAAAATATATATAAATTTAATTTAATTAATTTTGATCCAAGAATAAAATAATATTGTCTTTACTTTTATATTCATTTTTACAAACAGGTTATAACAATAAATGGTGCAAAAGTGGCGTCAAGTAAACGAGATATCGAAATACCTCAAGGCATCGCCCACGCTGTAGATAGGGTAATGTTCCCACTTCCGGTTGGCGATTTGATACAAACATTACAAGCTGATCGTGAAAGAAGATTCACCATTTTCTTAAAATTACTTTACATATCAGGTCTTCAAGATACTTTATCAGGTAATTAAAAAACAAAATGTTAAATTCAAATTAAAATTTGCAAAAAAATCTTTTACTTTTTTAAATTTGAACTTCTCAAAAAAAAGATATTTATAAAATATTATTTTAAACTTAATATTATTATTTTAAATTTCATGTTTCAGAATACAGATAAATGAATATTATAATTGTAATATTATAATATTGATATTAATTATATATATTATAGAGCAAACACTGTTTTAATAGATCTAATCTATTCACCAATAATAACAACATGCAATATTATTAAAATACATAAATAGAATAATTCATATAATATTTTTATATCAAAATAAAAAAGATATATTAGAGTAATAATTTAAAAACACAAATTTAAAAAAAATTTTTTAATAATAATATAATTTATTAAAATGTTATAAATTATTAATTTAATTTTTTTTTAAATTTTATAAAATTGTGCAATTACATAGAAAAAAATCATTACAAAAAAAATAATATAAAACGAATATAATATAAATATAAAATAAAATGATGAATTGAATGTTTGAATTAATGAATTTATTAATGAGTTAATAAATTTATATTTAAAATTTATAAAACTTTTTCATCGTTAAAGAAATAATAAATAAAAATAAATTTTTTCTAATGACACTGCATTTAATATATTTTTTTTATTTATTTATTAATATTGAAATATCCTATAATACAATATATATAAATAATTATATTATCATTATAGTTATAATTATAGTTATTTATATTATTATGTAACAATTATGCAATTTAGTTTTTTATTTGTTATATTCTATTTGAAGTAAAAACGAAAATAAAAACGAAAAAAATATGGAAGAAATAAATTATACTACTAATGAATGAATGAGTTTAAAAATTGTATTAAATTTATTTAATTAAATATAATAAAATTTTTAAACTTATTCAATTTAATGAAACTTCAATAAAATTTTCAATAAAGTAAAATTCTATTTAACACAAATGCAAATATTAATTTTTAAATTAAATTAATATATTGTTAACAAACTTAATTATAGATTTTAGAATAAAAATTATAGATTTTAGAATAAAAAATATTAATCAAATAAAAATTAAATTATAATTAATTCAATGCAGTTTGTTACTTTTTATTTATAGTAAAAACAACATATAAAAAAATATTCAAAAATTATTTAAATTTAATAATTTAAATTTAAATAATTAAATATATAGAATCTATTTAGTTTTATAAAGTTAAAATCTTTGAAAAATTTTTAGTTCTGAATTAAGTATAATAGTAAATAGTAAATATATATTATAGTATATAATAATAGTAAATATAAATATAGTATAGTATATAATAATAGTAAATATATTATAGTATAGTAATAGTAAATATATAAAAAGTAAATATATATTATATATCCTAATAATGCATCATTCGAAATAATTTAATTTTATTTAATAAAATTTTCGTCTGTTTAATTTTCTATTTCTTTAAATCTATAAATTAGCTATTAATTATAGATATCGACTCATATATTATCTTTAAATATTTACTTATACATATAGTTTTAAATGTATAACAATAAATAATTATTATATATTAATAATTAATATATATTATTTATAATGAATAAAATTCTGCAATCAATTAATACATTATAGCACATTTTATATTTTATGCAATAATTAGATTAAATTTGAAGGACTGAACAAATACATCAAACTAATAATATGCCATATAAAGTTCAATAGTAAAGTCAAATAATTAAAATAATAATTAAAATAATTAAAGATGAGTAATTGCTATTAACAAGAAAATAATTTTTGCAGGACCTAAAACTTTCACCATTTTCGCTCCAACGGATTCCGCTTTCGAATCAGCTTCAAAAGACGGAACATCTGTTTGGACAGAAGAAGATGGACCAAATGCTGCAAAAACAATCATTTCGAGACATATAATTCCATCGACTTTATATACAGCTGGAATGAGGTATTATCTGCAAAAAGATACTCTTCGTCCGCAATCACCTCTCCATATTCATAAAAATGGTGGTAAGTAAAAAAATATCGAAATTTCAAATTTTTTAAACTCATAGTAAAATACAGAATGTGATTAAATCAATCATTTTCATTATTGGTAAATCGATTAATATTTTTTTCGTCAATAGTAATGCTATTCAAATACTTAAATCATTGGAAAACCAATTTTCGAAGAAATCAAAAAATTTGAAAATTTCTCAAGTATAAAAATAAACACTAATAAATTAAACATAATAAATTTTTCTTATTTATATATAACATAATATTTATATTTTCATACATATATATCATATATATATATCATTATATTTATATTTTCATACATATATATCATTAAATAATAATTTTTCCATTTTTGTAAAAATAAATTAAAGTTAAATATTTTTTTTGATACCACAAAATTCTAGGAATATTTTATAATCAAGTTACTTTATCCGATTTTATTTGAAATAGTTCTTTTTATTTTTAACATTTACAAATATTTATTTTTAAATAAATTATATTGTATGTATTTATAAAATAATTCATAGAAACGTACATAAAGTAAAAATTTTATCAATATAGGAATTTTCTTAGAAATATTAAAAATAAAAAAAGTATTTTTTTTTAATTTAATTTTTTTATCATTTTTCATTCTGAAATCATAGAAATCTTTTTATTACAATTAATTCATTTTATTTGCAATTACAATTAAATTTAAAATTTTGACATCATTTTTATATTATTTTTATTTGAATTTTGTTTAATTATTTTTAAATTAATTCTTTTAATATATATCATTATGAAATATTTCAAAAAAGAAATTTTGTGATATAGAAAAACATTAAACTATTTCCTACCTTGTTCTAGGTCGAGTACGAATAAACGAAGCACATGTAATAACGCATAATATACCAGCAACAAATGGAGTTTTACACGCAATTGACAATATATTATAATCGTGCAACAACAATTAAATTTACTTTTAAAAATTATGCGTCTTACACAAAAATGCATATTTCAATAACAAAATATGAAAATTATTTATACATTTTTATTTTAAGTTAGCAATAATAGCAATAATAATTAAGCAATCATTACTTCGTGATTTACTAAAAAAAAATAGTAAGATCTCATGTGAGATAATTTAAATTTGATTTTAAATTTGAATTTAATTTAATAAAAAAAATACTAGTTTAATATAAAGATTTTATTTTTAGAAATAAATAATATTGATAAATAAGATGAAATTATAAAAATATAAAAAAAAAAAAAAAAAATTTGTAATTCTTAGAAATTATTACAGTAAATCACAAAGAATTAAATACTTATTATGAAGTACATACGTATATATATAATTAATTTTCGTTAATTATTAGATATATACAAACCTTCAATTCTTAATAATTTAATGCGATAAATCCTAATGATTATTATATTTCATCTAACAATTCGAATTATCTTAATATAAATATATGATCAAAATATAAGAAAAATGAATCTCATTCACAATTCAGAGATTCATTCCAAAGAAAGGATAAATTCAATCTGAATAGCTTCTGAGATAAAAATTTATATAACTTCCAGTCTTGTCCGAAAATAAACAATTATTTTATGTAATTTATGATATGAATTGATTTTGAAATTGAAGATTCACTTAATATTATCAATTTAATTTTATCAATACTAGAAATCAGAGAAATTTATCATGTGATAGTTATATTATGATATCATTATTATAAAATAATAAAAAATTTATTGATATAAATACAAATAATAAAGATATTATTAATAATAAATTAATTAATAAACAATTTATCCTATTATTATTTAATGATAAAAAAATTAATCTAAAAATTCATAAAGTTAATATTATTAATCCATATGAATAATTATTAAAACTAAAATTTCATATATAAATAATTCATTCAATTCAACTAAAATTAAATAAATTAAATAATAATATAATTATAATTAAATTACTAATAATTAAATTTAAATATTTATTTTTTTTAAAAAATAATATTATTAAATAAAAAATTATTATTATAATTATCATTATTATAAATAATAATAATATAATTTAATAAATTAAATTTAATATATTTAATTTTTGATGACCTAATTCATAATTAATTCTTACTATTAATGATAATCCTAATACTAATTCACAAACTGAAAATACTAAAAAAACTAAAAATAATCAAGAATTAATTTCAATTTCAATTAAAAAAAATAAAATAGTAATTACTATAAATTCTGAAAAAATTAAAAAATTTAAAAAATGAACATTATAATACACAATNATCTTTTTATAATCTTTAAATACATTAAAATAATAATAATAATAATAAAAGAATTATAATAATGTATTAAATTTAAATTAAATTTTGTAAATAAAAAACTTTGTTATGATATACTAAATACTATGATAAATGAAAGTTTGAGATTGTTTAAGAATTATTGAAATATTTAAAATATTCTTAAATATTCTTTTTTTTTTTTTCAAAAAAATTAGAAATAATTGAAACTATTTATATGCAATTAAAATAATCGTATAATTTTGAAAAAAAGAAAAAATAAATCTATAATTGTTATATAAGTTACTAATGAAGATAAATCAACATTATTTGCCATAAATGTTGCAAAATTATAAATTTAATAATTTTTTAAAATATATATAAATAGGAAATCTTATGTAATATAGATGTATGTTGATTGTCTCGTGCTAGCTGAGTTACTCATATTTATGAGTCATATAAATGCGAAAATTAATTATATAGAATTACTTAATTGTATAGAAAGATAATAAATTACGATTAGTATTATGCTAATATGTATTATTTTATAAATAAATGTACAGTGTTTTTCATAATTTATGTGTTCTAATCTTATTTTTATTATTCCATTAATTAATGAGAGGTAAAAAAATAAAATAATAAAATATTTTATAACATTAATAAATTTACAACAAATTTTTTTAAATTTTGCTTTTTGCATATTAATATTTTTATATAATTTTAATATTAACTTCAATATTAGTTTTGATGATATTGAATGATATTGAATATATTAATGATATTAAATATAATAATTTGTATGAATTTTTTTCAATTGCAATCAAATATATTTTTAATACTTATAAAGATAATTCATAAATAAGATGTGATTTATGTAAGACATTTTCACATTTATAAATATACATATATGTATAAATATAATATTTACATTATTAGATTAATAAAACTAGATTAAAAAAATTAATAATAGATTCAATTTAATAATAAATTAATCTTACATTTATAATTTTTTTATTTATATTCTTTTATTTATATTATATATTTTTTTATTTATAATTCTATCTATTTTATTTTTAATATAATTTAAATAGAAATAAAATTCTTTTTTTTTAATAGTTTGTTTTATATTTTTTCATTTCTACCATTATATGATGAAAGTTAGTTAATTGTGTTCGAGCATTTGGTGGTAAAATTTTATGAAACCTATGATAATATTGCACTAGCTGTGTCATTGTACGTTGTACAAGTGCTGTACCAAGTACTAAACTAGGAAAAGATTTCAATACTTCATGATTAATTTCTTCTAATGCCCGTTTCCAATTATTCGTAAAAGATTGCACAAGAGCTAATGCTTTTCCTTCTTGTCTTTTTGATTCATCAGTTTGATCCTTCTCGATCATAGCTTCAGATTCTTTGACAAACTGTATTATACCTCCAAAATGTGGACTTAAAATTTCTTCTACATACTCTGAAGATCGTGCATTTAATTGATCACGAAAACTTTCTGCTTCTTTTGAATTATCTCGTGTTCTTTCCTAAAAATAAAGAATATAATTATAAATTAATATAATTGTTAAGAATATACAGTTAAGAATATAATTATATTGTTAATATATTATTAATAATATAATAATTATAATTATAATTATAATTATATTATAAAGTTGATTTATTTTTAATTTATATATATATTTACCATTAATACACCAAGAACTAAATCATAATTATTGATGAGGAAAACTAATTGTTGAATTCTACTAGAAAATGTAGCAGCCATTCTTAATAGGAAACATTGTACAGCTTCTCTTAATTCTGCTAATAATTGTGTGGCTCCTTCACAAGGAAATCCTTCAACTACACTAACCATTGCAGCACTAAATTCCGCATATCTTCTTGTAATCTATAAATAAATTTTGTAAGTACTTATAAATAAGTTCCTTTCTAAAAATTTAAATTATATATTTGTAATTTTAATATTATAAACTTACATAATGTGGTCCTGTTTCTTGAGTAAGTTTTAATGGATCACAATGTTTTATACTTTGAATATTCAATTGAAAAACATATTCAAATCTAAAAATTTAAAAAAGATATATTGAAAATATATTTCTATTTAAAAATTATATTATATATATGTGTTACATTGTGTTAATTTAAATATGTATTATTTATTTATACCTAGGCCAGATTACTGATGTCATATTATCCCAATATTTATCTAAAGCGGGTACTGCTCTTTTATGGCAAGTCAATCGATATCGCATTACTAAATGTAAGCAAAGGAATAAAGCGATAGTATCATAGCAATCTTCCACAAAAGATTGTAAATTTTTCATCATTAGATTTAATGTTTTTCCCATTACCTTTTTAATTAAAAATATATAATCTTATATATTCATTTTCATTAATATTATTAATATAACAGAGAAAAATATTATTTTACTTGGTTGAAAATATCCATTGCCTGTACACCACGTACTTTGAAGAATTCAGTTAAAAATAAATATTCTCTACAAGCATTATCTACAAGAGCATATTGTTCACTTCTGAACAAGGCTTCATAATGATACTATAAATAAAAATCAATCAAATTGACATATATAATATATTTATAATAAAATAATTGTAAAATAAAAATAATTTTAAAAAATGATTGAATTTACATTTATATATACATTTACATATATAATTTCATTTTAAAAATAAAAAATATATTTAAAAAATTTTTATATTTACCCTTATTTTAAATGCAGTATGAGGTACTATAATGGGTGCTTCCAATTGAAAAGTTAATACATCTCCTCTATTACCTATAGAAAATACCGTACCTCTATGCTTTAATATGGTTTTATGAAAAATACTTCTCCCAGCAGTATCTTCAACTCCCATGAGATCATCTTTAGTAGCTCCTTCTTCAAACTATACAATTTAATAAATATTGTTCCTCTACAAATATTTTAAATTTATCATTATATTTTACTAACCTGTAATTTCATTAGTCTTGAAGAATATGATTTAAAATATGAATAATATATTTTACTCATTGTGCTAATATATTCTCCACAAATTTCTTCTGCTACATTTCTTTCATTTGCCAAAATAAACTCAAAAAAAAATTTATACTTTAACATGTTATTTTGTGGTACTTGATAATTTGTCATTGGTTTTCTAAATTTATAAATTTGTTCTAAAAGATATGTTCTAATTTTTGCTAATGCTTTCACTTTCAGTTTCTCCAATATATCTTTTACATCTAAACATGATTTTGCTTCTTTAAAACTTTGTTCCTTTACAAAATTTATTTTATGATTTAATGTTTGCAGTTGTGTTAAAAATTCTTTTTCAGTTACTGGAGAGTCCATAATTCCCCTGCATATATTATAAATTGTTATAAATTTTATTATATTATAATAAATTTTATATATTTAAGAATATTAATTTTTTTATAAAAAATTATTTTTCAGTTATTAATGCTTACGCAATAAGAGCTTCTGATACTGTCATATCTTCAATAAATTGACTAAGAGGTCCTCTAATTATTTGTCTATTAGACAATTGTTGACTCATTGCTACAGATTTACGTTGTAAATAAAGTATTTCTGAACTAATACTTCCTAAGTCTGATTGAAAACTCATCAACATGGATTCCATTTTCTGGAAAAAAATATACTAAATTGCAAAATTCAACAAATTTTAATTAAACTTAATAAAATAATAAATTTGCTAAATATATTTCTAATTATATATTAT